CCTGTCTATTTTGGGGTGCCTGTGCACCTCTCTAGTCTTTGCACCTTTGTGCCTCCCTATTCTTGGGTGCCTTTGCACCCCCCTATTTTTGAGGTGCCAATCTGGTTTACCCATACTTGAGTATGAGCATTCTATAGCTTTGTATTTCTTTTTGCCTTGTTAACCCATTGGTGTAAGCCTGGGGGATTCCTAAGCATATTCCCCACATTTCTGCAATAAACTATATAAACATTCTTGCCAAGTGAAATCACCTAACATTGTAAAAAAATTTTCACAAGGGTTGGACGTCCAAAATATATAAGGAACCCGTAAAACTGAGTATCAAAAAACAACCTGATTGGGGTGCCTGGGTGGTTCAGTTGGTTGAGCATCCAACTCTTGATTTCAGCTCAGGTCATGATCTCACGGTTCATGAGTTCAAGCCCCACATCAGGTTCTGCACTGACAGCAGGGAACCTGCTTGGGATTCTCTGTCTCCCTCTCCCTCTGCCTCTTCCTCTTTCTCTCAAAAATAAATAAATAAATATTTTAAAAAACAACCTGATTAAAAAATAGGCAGGGAACCTGAATAGATACTTTTCCAAAAAAGCCATACAGATGGCCAAAAGGCACATGAAAATAATGCTCAATGTCACTAACCATCAGGAGATGCAAATCAAAACCAGGATGAGATAACACCTTAAACCTATCAGAATGGCTAGTATCAAGAAGTAGCAAGTGCTAGTGAGGATGTGAAGAAACAGAAACTCTCATGCAGTATTAATAAGAATGTAAATTGGTGTGGCCACTATGGAAAATAGTATGGAGGTTCCTTAAAAAGTTAAAAATAGAACTACCACATGATCCAGCAATTCTACTTCTAGATATTTACCTGAAGAAAACAAAAACACTAATTTGAAAAGACATATGACCTGCTGGGTTCATTGCTGCATTACTTACAATAGCCAAGATATAAAAGCAACCTAAATATCCATCGAAGGGTGAATGGATAAAGATGTGGTGTCTGTGTATGTGTGTCTGTGTGTCTGTGTGCATGCGTGTGTGTGTGTGTGTGTGTGTGTGTGTGTGTGTGTGTGTGATGGAATATTACTCAACCATAAAAGGGAATGAAATCTTGCCATTTGTAGTGAAATGGATGGATCTAGAGGGTATTATGCCCAGTGAAATTAGTCAAATTCCATATGACTTCACTTATACATGGACTCTAAAAAATAAATGAACAAAGAAAACAAACCAGAATCAAACTCAGATATTGAGAACAAACTGATTATTGCTACAGGGGAGAGAGGAGGGAGGATGAGCAAAATAGGTGAAGGGGATTAAGAGGCATAATCTTCCAAGTATAAAATAAGTAAGTCATGGAGCCATAGTGTGCAGCATAGGGAGTATGGTCAATAATATCATAACAACTTTGTATGATTGCACCTGGTAACCAGACTTATTGTGGTGATCATTTAGTTAAATGATCATGTTAAATCACCATGTTCTATACCTGAAACTAATATAATATTGTATATCAATTATTCTTCAATTAAAAAAAGCATAAATTCAGGTTAGCTTTTGTTGCCAAATTATTTTTAAAATTAAACTTGCTAAAAAGGATTCAGTATGCAGAGCTTTTTGGATTTTAGAATTTCAGATAAGGGGTTATGGATCTGTATTACAAGTTGGCCCCGGGGAGGTGTTGTTTTGTTGTGTGTGTGTGTGTGTGTGTGTGTATGTGTGTGTGTGTGTGTGTGTTTTCAAGTTTTTCCATTGTTTACCATCCAAATGGAAATTCAGTGAAAGCTCCAAACACCCAGAATCATGGACTACAGCAGTGGAAAGAGTTCTGGTGATGTGGTGCCTTTGCTTCATTTCACCAACAGAGAAATTGTAGCACAGGGAGTAGAAATGGTCTAGTGAGGCTAAAGAAGGTTCTAGAGTAGATACTACATGTTTGACAGTAGGCAGACCTAGGTTGAATTCAGCACCAAATTGCCACCTTGGCAAATTTATACCCAGCCTTCCATCCCAGATCACCATTATTCACTGTTTAGAGAAGCACCTCACCCATAAGGGTATTAGGAGCATTAAATCAGCAAAAGCAGGGTGCAATGTTCGGCACACTGAGCTATACATACTGTGTGCTCAAGAAAACACAACCATTACTAGCTGTAGGGTTATTTTTATGATTATTATTGACCTAATTCACTTAAACTCAGTAAATGTTTACTGAATTCCTCCTTGTAAAACACCATACTGTTATGCGGGTGAATGAGGCAGAATTATCTGCCCATACACTATAGGCAATTCAATACAAGTACCTAGCACAGTCCCTGACACACAGTAGATACTTAAGACACATTTGTTGAATTGAATTAAACTCAAGGTGCTTATAATCTAACAGGGGATTTAATAATGCTAAGAGTAAAAAATGTGAGAAATACTCAAAGAGGTTTATGACGTGCTATGGGAATAGAAAAACAAAGACGTATTCTGTCTTCGAACAGGGGAGAGTGTAAAGAAGAAGACCATGCTGGTCTTACCAAGAGGGTTGATATTCAGTGGGTATAGCCATTCCAGGCAGGAGAAAAGACTTTAAGAAAATTCCTACAGGGGTGGAAAATTGCATAGTACGTTTAATAAGTAGTGGGTTATGTGCTTAGGGAATTACATAGAACAATTGCATGGGTCGTATGCATGAGGGAATTTCAGCCTGCAATGCAACAGAGGTGAGTTAAGACTAAGTCAAATGAAACCTGAAACGGTGTTATGAAGGAGTGTGCACTATACATCGAGGCTTGTGATTTTGTACAAAGAATTAAAGGGCAGAGAAAGTGTGAAAGTAGTTACACCCAGCATGGGTATATCAAAAAGTCCTTGATGGGAATGATAAAGAACTAAACCAGGGCGGAGGCAGAGAAGAGGGCCAGGAGGGAGAAGTTAAAGAGACATAAGTGGAATGGATCATACTTACAACCAATTAGATGTAGAAAGAAAAATAAGAGGAGATTCAGAGATTACTCTTAGTTTTTAGACTTTTGAGGGTATAATGGTGCCAGAGAAGAGAGAAGGTTATAGATGATGGATGAGGAAGGCAGAAAATTATTAGTTCACTTTTAAACTGAACAAGTTAATGTGTGTTCAAGGCAGGAAAAAAAAACTGGTCTGTGATGTCAAGAAACTAGACATTCAACTCAGGGGAGCTAATGTCTTTAGATTGGGCAATGGACTTGCTAATCTTGTGTTGTCCCTTATCTGAAGTTGCAGCTGCATTTCACAACCTACAGATTCCCCCACCTTACATAAAAATCAACATTTGCAAGTACATATGCCCACCTAGCAATTGTTGTCACAGGTGGTTCTTACTATGTGGGAAATCAGATAACTTACCCAAAAAAGAGCCCCTGAGGATCAGTGAAGGCACTGAAGGCTGGAAGCGGGATGAGGCAAGCAGGGCCCTTCATTCGGGTTTCTGCAAGTGCCCACCTTGCACTTGCAAGACCCTGAGAGTCAACGTTTCCTTGGATTTTGCACCTTGGGCATATCACTTGCCTCACCTAGTCCCAACCCTAGGAGTAGTGTGAAGTATTTCCCAGGACAAAGTAGCAATAAAGATTCTTTATTAAGAAGACTTTATGTTGTAGTACAGGGGTCACAAAACTTTTCTTGTAAAGTACCAGGTAGTAAATATTTCAGGCTTTGCAGGCCATATGGTCTCTGCACCAACTACTCAATTCTACCAAGGTAATGGGAAAACAACCACAGACTATATGTAACGAATGGGCATGGCTGTGCTGCAATAAAACTTTATTTACAAAAATGGGAGTCAGGCCAAATTTGGCCCTCAGGTTATAGTTTGCCAGCACTGTTGTGTGGAAGGAGCTAGCTAGATCTTAGGTTTAAATTCCAAACCCACCATTTACAAAATATCTGGATTTGGACGTGTACCACTGTAAAAAATGTGATTAATTATACCTTCTCCTCATTGATTGTGGGGATTTGAGAAAATGTATTTAAAATGTCTCATAAATAACAGGCATTCAAATAGGGCAGTAGTCTTTTTTTTGTAAAGTTTTTATTTACTTATTTTGAGAGACAGAGAGAGAGACAGAGAGAGACAGAGAGAGACAGCATGAGTCAGGGAGGGGCAGAGAGAGAGAGAGAGAGGAAGAGAGAGAATCCCAAGCAGACTCTGTGCTGTCAGCGCAGAACCCGATGCGGGGCTCGAATTCACAAACAGTGAAATCATGACCCAAGCCAAAATCAAGAGTCAGACACTTAACTGACTAAGCCACCCAAGCACCCCAGGACAGTAGTCTTTTTAATTACAAAGGTCAATAAGAATAATAGCTAACACTATTTGAATGCTTTTATGATATACAAGCTACTATGTAAATAATGCACTTTACAGAGTTAATTTCACTTAAACTTCCCACAACTCTTGGAAGTAGGAACTATTATAGTATTCCTTTCTACTTGTGGGGAAACTGAGTCATGAAAAAATGCCCAAGAGATGCTTACATAGATAGTAAGTGATACAGCTGGCACTTAATCCCTAATTAAGTGAACTTCACTTGCCTTGGTGCTAATCTCTTTGCTAGTTAATTAGCTCCACCAATTCACCTCCAACTGAAATGCTCCAAATCTCCTCAAGTTCTGCAGGGCTTTTCATAACTCATCACAGCCTAACACAACTGAAAACAGTTTAATACATAACTTTTGGAAAATTCACCTTCAGGTAAACACTCCATATCTTACATCAATGAAATACTTATCCCCACCCCCTGCCTGCCCATCTATTTTGCCCCTCCCAACAAATATCTCCAGTTAAAGGAAAACAGAATATTATTAAGAAAGCTAATGCAAACCTATTTCAAAAAATTTATCCTATAATCACCCTAAAAGCTTGCAATTTCAAAGCTAGGCTGCAGAACAGCACACTGGATTAATTATGCCAGACTGCAGCAATAACCTTGAATTAAAGCTGCAACCTTCTATTTTTAAGAAACACTTGCCTTTCTGGTTGATGAAACCTGTCGTCCCATCAGGTAACAGACGTGACCAGGAAAGAGAGAAGCGGTAATGAGTCAATCCAAGCTGTTTGATACATTTCAAATCTTCCTCCCACAGAGTGTAGCTGCCACAAGCTACATCGCCAGTCTGGTTCTGGAAAACTCTCTCTCCTCCCTGATGGGTGAATGTGTCCCAGACACTAGGGCCTTTTCCATCTGCATCCCAGCCTCCTGAGAAAAAGAAGAAAATGAAACGGTTACACTCGACATCAAGAGGCATATGTGGAATGTAAATATTTGTCGCCAAAAGAACATACCTCATTAACTCAATGTACCATATTTATAACTTTAAAATATGCCTTTAAAATAACATGCATGAGCGAGTTATGTGTTTAGCTGTCCTTGATCCCTGAAACTGACTGGTAGCAAATGAAAAATGATTGCGTACTGCTGCTGCATCACAGGCTTTCATGGTTCATTTTCTGAAGATTTCCCAGCTGGTAAACAGAGGCAGGCCCCAGCTTATGAATGTCTGAGTTGAAAATATCTCCTCCTGGCCATGACTGACACGTCTTGTCCTTGCTGTGCCTGATGGAGTCTCAGGACCTTGTCTTTGGCCCTCTACACTTGAACCCTATTTTCTGTTAGTTACCACTGGAGCCTGCAATGGTCCAGTCAATTATTGTGGGGAGGGCACTAGTTTCAGCCGCTGTTGACATGATATTAGCATCCTACATTCATTCATTCATACCTCCATTAATTCCACAAATGTTATGTGTCAGGCTCTATGCTGAGCGCAGGAGATACCAGGGCGAACTCTGCTGTGCTTCCTGTCCTTGGAGAAGTTAGCTATGGGCAACTGCAAAACAGCTGAGGTAAAAGCCTTGCCAGAAAACCAAGGAGGGGCATTTATCCAGATGTGGACTAGAGTCGGGGGTCTCTTAGAAAAATGACTTTTAGACAGACACCTAAACGAAAAGTTGGGTCATCAAGATGAATTGCTGGGAAGTGGGGGTGGATACAAAATAGAAAAAAGGGCAGCTAAGATCCAAAACCTCACAGGAAAGAGAGAGTGTTGCACATTAGAAGAACAGAAAGTAAAAATTGCATTAGATTTGGAATATCTGTACACATAGAAATGTTGTTTAAAATGGAGTTAAAATGCATTCTATGGTATAAAGGAGTAATTTTAAAAATCTCGTGACTCCCTAATTCCACTTCTAGGTACATACCCTGGAGAAATGCTCATGTATTTTCACAAAGAGATTATATGAGATCATTGAGGCAGAGACGTCTGTACTAACAAAATCCTGGAAACAACCTACATTCTACCAACAGTAGAACAGATCATTAATTTGAGGTATAAGCATACAGAGGAAACACTAATCAGCAGTTAAGGGAAATGAATCAGAGAGTAACCCTGTGCTACACTCTGAATGTTTGTATCCCCCAAAACTTACGTTGAAATCCTAATGGCCAATGTGAAGGTATTAGGAGGTGGGATCTTTGGGAGGTGCTTCAGACATGAGGGAGGAGCCCTCATGAATGAGTTGGTGCCCTTGTAAGAGACCCCAGAGTTCCCTAGTCCTCTGTGCCATGTGAAAACATAGATATCTGTGATGCAGAAGAGGGCCCTTGTCCAGCCACTCTCACCTCAGACTTGCAGCCTCTGGAATTGTGAGAAATAAGCCTTCCAGTTTATGGTGTTTTGTTATTAGACTCCAAATGGACTCAGCCTCAAAACTATGAAGTTATACAAACAAAAAAACTGAGATCCAAAAGAATGTATCCAGGGATAAAGAGATGGAATTCAGAATTTTAGGGCAGTAAGTATGCTACATAATAATGTAATTGTGGATATATTTATCAAAACCCATAAACTATGAACTTTACTTAATGATACTGCATCGATATTCATTCATCAGTCGTAATAATTGTTCCACAGTAATGCAAGATGTTACTAGTAAGGCAACTAGGGGAATGGGGTATATGGAAACTCTCAGGATTTTCGGCCCAATTTTCCTGTAAACTTAAAATCATTCTAAAATATGAAGCCTACTGATTTTTTTAAAGAATATATACAATATGAAAAAAAGAACATATACATTTATCATGTTTTGTATATTTTTAAATATGTAAAAACAATCCGTGTATTTTCTGAACATATAGATACAAGGTAAATGTATAACATGCCTGGGAATGGTCAATTCAGGCTAGTGGTTACCATTGGGGAGAAAAAGAGGGTAATGGAACCTGGGAGGAGTGTGACTGAAATTCTTATGTTTCCTTCCTTAAACTGGGTTAGGAGCATACGGGTAGGTATTTATTACATTATTCCCAACCCTTTTAATGTGTCTAAAATATTTCATAATTATTTTATTTTAACGTGTATTTATTTACTATTTTGCAAGAGAGTGTGTGCGTGTGTGTGCGCGCATGTGTGAGCGGGTAAGGAGCAGGGAGAGAAGGAGAGAGAGAATCTCAACCAGGCTCCATGCTATAAGCATGGAGCCTGATGCAGGGCTCGAACTCACGAATTGTGAGATCATGACCTGAGCCAAAATGAAGAGTATGATGCTTTAACAGACTAAGCCACCCAGGTGCCCCTCATAATAATTTTTATATAAGAAAGGAGGTCACAGATAGAGTAGAGTAGACCAAAGCAATTACAGGAAGGTCTTTCAGGTCTCACTTAGCATCTACTTACTCATATTGTGCATACAATTCAAACAGGATTGGGTATTAGGTTTTGGACCCACACAAGGACAGCATAGGCTGTAAGTTATGGGAGGGGACCATGGGGAGACAGGAGAGGCTAGTAAAAGGAGGAGCTCTGACAAGAGCAAAAATGACAGTTGAAATCAAGTAGGATACTAAGTATCTATACAAAGAAATTGTGAATATTAAAAATTACTATACTCTGGAGTCATAATATAGAGGCAAAAAGCTATATACATTCCAATGGCTCTCAATTTATGTCTATAAATGAGGTTTAGAGGGATCGGGGAAAATACTGATATCCAATCTTAGAAAGAAACAGGTATGAATACTAAAATACAATTTAGTCAAATATGGTGCTCATAGTTTTGGATAAGTGATTTAACAGATGAAGAACTTAATCTCAGAGAGTTTAAGCAATAGCGTTCTAGTAAATATTAACAACTGGCTATACGTTTAAAACTGTGGGGGCACCTGGCTGGCTCAACTGGTAGAGCATGCTACTCTTGATCCTAGGGTTGTGAGTCCAAGCCCCACAGTAGGGAGAGAGCTTACTTAAAAAAAACAAATAAAAATAAAGTATGTGTACATATGTTAATTAGAAATTTTATTGACACAAAAGCCATGTAATACACAATTTCCAAATAATATGCAATGCTCTTTCTATAAATTCCATATGGCCAACTGATTCTCATAGAACGCTCACTTAGGTTTTTGCCAAATTTTTATATTGGTAGCCAAGCTATGGCTGCGACCTAACAAATGTGTGTAGTTCTCATGTGAATGTTAACTGATATGTTTGCTGAAATTAACAGGCAAGATAAAAGGAAAACAACAGAATTTCACTTGTTCATCAGTAATATGAGCTACATCTTCACTGAATTGGATAATGTTTTCAAACACTGGAAGAAAATTTCCTCAAACATCAGTCCTACTTAGAATGTAACGCTACAGATGTGACACACTTTTAACTTTACTCTGAATTATTAAGATTGTCTCTATCACTTTCTTAGGTCTTGACAGTCAACAAAACGATACATTAAATACTGACTTGGCAGCACTTGGCCAATTCCTACAGTGTTAATACTTCCACCATGGCCAAGTTCAAGCAACCAAGGGGATAGCACTGAAGGTGGGTGGGGAAGAGATGAATGGTAGCACAGCATTATATAGGATTTCTTCTATACAGATACAAGAATAAGCTAAGTAACCTTGGGTTATTTACAGAGGCATGGGGAATAATAAAATTTAGTAAATTTCTATAATTTAATTTTGAATCATGAATATGTTAAGAATCAGCTCACAAAATTGCTGAAAGCTTAACAGTAGGTACTGGTGAACCAGTACAAGCTGGCTTCCCCAGTCACTGGTAAGTGGCTTGTCTAAGAGCACATTGGTAGTAAGTAGCAAAGCCAAGTTGTATTTCCAGATCTGCCTGATTTTGAAGTCTAAGTCCTTCCAATGAAATATGCTACTTTTAGTAATAATTACTCTGAGTGATGAAGGAAGAGTCAATTGATGCCTGTGCTAGTCAATTTATAGAGCCTAAGAAGTGCATAACATGATTTATTCTACCTTTTGGAAAATACTCCATTGAAAGTGCAATGAAATTCTGGCAATTTTGAAAGGTAAATGTCAGTTAGTAGGAAAACATGGAGCAGCTCATCCTACACGCACACTAGTTAGAGCATATCTAGGCAATATTGTTTCCACGAGAAACTAAAATTTGAATTTTAATTAACCATTATAATTGATATTTTGATAAAAAAATATAGTGGGTGGGACTCATCAGTACATTAATGTAAATTTTGCTGAATTAGTGGTATCAATAACTCACTTGTTCACTACGGATTTTCTTTAGATGCAATTATGTCCATATTCTAAAAGTGTGACTGTCCTTTATAAGGAATGAGACTACCATTTTCAGATGAACTACATACCCTGAGACATCCTTCAGACAACTACAGTCTGGATGAAATATAGGAACTACATTTTTAAATGTGTCATTGATCTGGTGGGATGGTAAGCAACTCAAAAATAAAGTGAGTGAGGCAATTCAGAAGCACAAATGAATAACGAGGCAGGCTTTTGTCCTGAGAGCATCTGCCAATCCCAGATGATGTGAGCTGCCATTTTAATGGCCTTCTGGGACCAGGCAGAAAGGAGCAAAGTCTAAATCTTATCAAAGATGGGAAGCCACATGAAGATGTTTACATAAGGCTGGCAATGGAAGGACCCCACACTCTAAATAAGAAACAAACCCTACCTGAGAAAGAGGCAACAAAGCAACTAGCTTGACACAAAGTTGGGTGGAAGGGGGAAATGACTCCTCAATATCTGCACCAAAAATCCAACCCTCCAACCATTAATCAAGTGTGATAATGAAAAAAGATACTATCAGACATATGAGCTCTCACTGAATATTGAAATAAAAATTCCTCTCATTGGATATTACAGGAGGATAAATTTCACCAGAATAATCATGGATACCAAGAGAGAAAATTCTAGGATCC